GTTCTGCAGTCGACTAAATTTCAGTTAAACAAATAAAATTCACCCCATCGACTTGATGGACACCCCCGCATTGCGTGTGGCGCCCTCCCTCTCGGGGGGTGCAGTACTACGATGCCGCTGGTATAAAAAAATCAGAGTCCCGTCGACATCAAGAAATTGTTGTATATTTTTTATTTATAACAAACATTCTCCATATAAATTATTAAACATCAACTAATTATTGTCACAAAATTAATCAAATCGAGTGGAATGACAGAAGAAGAGAACGTATTGTTCCTCCGAGCGAATGGAGACGTAAGATTAAAATTTATAGGTTAAATTCCAGTGCAGCTCAAAAATTGAAATTTATTTCCAGACTGTCGAGGACATTTGGGATGACACTGCCCTGATCAAGGCTTATGACAAAGCTGTCAATTTGGCGAAAGAGCAAGTTGCAAAACGCCTCAGCATGGAAACAGAAGTTCCCCCTGGGAAATCAAATAAATCACAGAATTCCAGGCAGTCCAGTAAACAACAGAATCACCAGAAAGTAATTAATCCTCATCCATCACTCCATGGAATTATCAGATTTAAGTTGATTTAATCTCGTTTTATTGATTAGAAATGGACTCTAGGTTCGCCATGTCGTGCAGTTTATTCAGCTGATGGAATTGAGTATGAAGCCATAATCTCAAAAATACTGGATAATGATTGTCGCCACTGCACTGTCAAATTCGTCGGTAATTATTTATTATTTATTAATTATTCACTGATTATTCATTCCACTCAAGTATATATACTCATAATTACGATTTTCTCTCACATAGTTCCATGTATTTGCATCGAAGAAAGATTATGAAATATTAGGTAATTATTTTAGGATATGGAAATACCGAAAGAGTTGAACTGTCGTCTCTTCGTGAGTCTAACGGTCTCGAGGCTCAAATAGCTCAACAGAAAGATTCGGATGCTGTGAAAAATTGTGAAAACTCGACTGAAGAACCACCGCCTGCATCTCGTGGAAATATCAGAGAAAATGAAGAGGCAATGGATTACGAATCTGATTTCCCTAAGCAGTCGAAAAATTTCATGCCCAGATCATCGTCATTCTCATTTGGAGGCATCACACCACCAGCTCCTCCGTTACCTCCACACATGATGGCCAGGTGAAAAAATATTCCCATCTTTATTCGTTCAATTATTAATTGTCTTAATTATTATTAATCAGACTCCCTACTAATGAGGCTGATGCACTCTCCAGCATGCTGATGTCTTGGTACATCAGTGGATTCCACACAGGTACCATAAAGAGAATTATTTATGAATAATTGAATATTCCATTTAATTTATTCTCATTATTTCATTGTATTTTTTCCTTCAGGTTATTATCACGGCTTGAAACAAGCCCAGAGTAATTTGGAGCGACGAAAAAAATGACATGTAACGTAATTTTATTTTATACTAAAAAAAAAACAAAACAAAAAATTGAGAACGGTGAGTAAAAAAATTATTCCCAGGATTTAATCACTTAACTCTCGATTCCCATTCGTTGTATCTACCAGTCAAGTGTTTCGTTGTGGGGAGAATGATTTTTCTTGCAGTCTTCATAACGTCCAGGGAATTAATCTGATCTGGCACCTTCGATTTATTATCTGTAGAGAGATAATGCCGCATTTGAATCATCCAGGCCTCTTTACACATCTGCTTCAGATCTGATCCAGAGTAGAACTCAGTCTCTTTTATCAATTGCTCGAAGTCATTCTGCTTATGGAGAGCCGGGGCTGTATAATATTTCAGCATTTCTCGTCGTGCAGAAATTACCGGAAGATTTATCAACACATGTTTCTCCAGACGTCTCAGCAGAGCTGCATCCAAATTCCTAATTACGAATTAATCCTATCAGAAAGCAATTCACTAAAATTTTTTTTAGAATCAATTGTCACGAATGATTTAATCGTTCAGGGCGAATGCGATGAATTTACGTAATTTAATACCATGGGGCATTAGTAGTGGCGAGTAGGACAACCCTTGACCCTTGGAGTGTCACCAAACCGTCCAATCTCGCCAGGAATTCAGCTCTGAATCTTCTGGCAGGCTCTGAAGA